GTATCTTTTGGAATAGGGCTGAAAACTTCAGTTTTAATTTTGTAAATGCCACAAACTTGGAGCAAAAGCTGATTTTCCGCAGCCTAAAGTTGCGCTTCCGCTTTTGGGGAAATCTTTTGCTTGGAAAAGATCTGCACCTCTGTGTTTGATTGAAATTCGGGCTGGTCATTGGAAACTGCAGGTTTCCCATATTGTCTATCTCTGGGTCTATTATCCAGTTCTCTGGGCCTATTCTTCAGTTTCCCTGAGAGCGTGAGGGCTGGTCATTTTTTATCAGGTTTGGACCAGCATTCATTAGCCCAATGTTTACCTTTTCCACTTCTCAGACAAAGTCCTTGAACAGTCTTGTTATTTTTATCTCTTTTTTTCCTTTTTATATTGTCTTTTTCTGCAATCTTTTCTCATATGACCCATTTTTACACACTTAAAACATTTGGTATGATTTTGTTTAAAAAAAAAAAAAAAAAAAAAAAAAGACTGTAAGGTAGCTGCCAATAAATTAGCTGGGCATGGCTCTGAGCCAGTATCTGTGCAGGCCTTAATATGTTCTTCTAACGATGCACCTTGTGCCTTTGCCTTTAAGGGACACACAGAATTTTGACATTTGGTATTCACGTTCTTAAAAGACAGTTTGTAACAATAAATCCCTCATTTCTGGTGTTCTCACTGTTTTGTGTATAGCCTCCCTTAATCAGGAGACAAAATCTACATATGGCTCCTTATTAGACTGGAGAACCTTAGCAAATGATGTTTGAGCATGTTCTAGTCTTTCCATTTTTTCTTAAGCCCTCAAGCAACAAATGCAAGTGTGCGCAATAGCCACATCATCATACTGCAACTGGGCTTGGACACCAAGCCAGGCCCCTGACCCAGTGAGCTGATCTGATGAAACGTCAACTGGGGGATTTTGTCCCCTGTCAACCCCCTCTTGAGCATCTGCTTCATCTTTTCACCAAGTTCTAAACTGCAAATAATGGTTTGGCTCTAAAATTGTGTGGCACAAAACTTCCCAATCATGAGGAATTAATCTATGTTCATTTGCTAGTCCTTGTATTAACCCAATCACATAGGTTGACTGCATACCATAGGCCATGACAGCCTGCTTTAAATCTTTAATTATCTTGAATGTTAGAGGTTGGGGTTCCCATTGCACATACCCCTGGGGAAATTGAGCATTTGGTAGGTGTTGCTGAACGACCACAGAAAAAAATACCTAAAGGGGCAGAATAAGCTTCAGGGTCCCCTTGTTGTCTTCCTTGCCTGAGATGTCACACTTTCATAAACTTTTATGGGGGCTTCCTTTTTCTCATATGAAGGAGCAGAAGGGTTAAAAGATGGTGGTAGGGGCTGAATTTTTGTGAATTGAAATGGAGGAACTACAGGGTAGAGTCCTCCATTTTATTAATCAATTTAGAAAGTTATTGTGATAATTGCCTTACCTCGGCTCGCAGCTCACATACCTCATTTTTAGTTTCCTTTTGTTCTACAGCCTCCAAACCTTCAGATCCTGAGGAGATGGCTTGTAATGCCATAAATGTCCTGTTAGGACCCAGTTTGTCAGACTCATCCCGGTCATAGAGCATCAAGAAATTTAAAGAGCCGACACTATTAGTATGCCAGGGAGCACCTTCATGTAGGGGGTTTTGAGGGGGTGCAACCTTATAATAATTATGCACCACACAGGCCCCCTGCTCTGTTTTTGTTTTTTTTGCTGTGCTAGCATCTGCATTTGAGTGAGGAAGACAGTGGTCTTAAAAAGGTCTCCTGTGCAGATTCATATTTGCGCGGAAGCTGCTCTTGAGGTTTAGCAATATCAGCATATGAAGCCAACCTTTTCAAATATTTCTTAGACTCTTCTGAGTCCCACTGCAATGACGCCAAGGCTAAGGAGATTAAACTACAAAGAGCCCACACGTGAAGAGGAATTGGGTCTCCATTTTGATGAGCAAGACAAAGCGTTCTCATAACTTGTTTCCAAACTTTTAAGTTTAAAGCAGCCTTTCCCTTAGGCTGAAACCAGTAAACATGCCTTTTTTAATAAGTGAAAATAATTCCTCAAAACTGGTTTCACCATTATATCCATTCCTTTGAGTAACGTCCGAATAAGATGGACATATTTATTTTCTACTGAAGAGGAGCTTCCCATTACTCTGAGCTTTTCCTGCTGGTCTCATCTACTCTGGACGTACTTTTCCCACGCGGTCAGGCCGCTCCTAACTTGCCCCTGGTCGTCTTCCGTGCCCCACGTTGGGCACCACTTATTGTATGCTGAGTGAGTACCAAAAGAAACAATGAGAAGACCCGAGGAACATAGCTTCAGAGGTCTCACTGAGATGAGTCTCTCTCCAAGTGAGCCCAGAGCCTCAGAAGCATCTCACATTTATTGAGGGCTAAAGGCAGGCTAAGGAATGTGCATAATTACTTTGGTAAATACAAACTATCTCTATCCACGTCCACCATTTGCCTAACACTAAGTTTATACAATGCTAAGCTGATAACATCCCAAGCAAGGGGTGAAAGAACACAAAGGGAGCCAGCAGGAGAAGCTATTATCGTCCGCCTTGAATCCCAGCTTTCTGGAATTTACAAGTGAGAGACAACAACAGTTCTCCTTGGGCTCTGTTTACTGCTCCCTGCTCCCTGCTCCCTTGAGACATTAGGCTTTTTCATATCTATATTTCTATACATTGTCTTTTCCCTTTTGACATAACATCGGTGGTCTTCCCCAGGAAGAGGTACAAGTGAAATGTGTCTTATATGGAGAATTCAAACTCTCAGGTAAAAGATACAACTTAAAATTCCAAGGCTCCCATTGGAGACACTGGCTGAATTGACAGCTTAGCGAGGATGGAAAGAAATGTAGACATTTAGCAGATAAATAAGCATTCACTAGATGAGGGGGAGAGAGCAATAATTCTGCAAAGCATGTCCCCTTAATTAAATCACATTTTAAAAACTCAGGAGGAAAGGTTAACCTTTGAAGAGATCCTATAATACACCCTTGTAAATTTCAAAACTATTCTGCACTGGATCAAGCATTCTCCATATTTAAAAAATTACTGCAAATTTTCACAGTAGATGAATCAAATTTTCTTAGAAGAGGCAACTCGGGGATGTGCTCTGTCCATTGATATGCATTATTTATTAAGTACGTGCATCCTGTCTGACACTTCCCACTAGAGTCTTGGCTCCCTATAGTACTGGATCCATAAAGCAGTGTCTGGTACCCAGTAGGCATTAATTTATTGAATGCATAAGTAGTGGGCTTATGAAAACAAATTTGCACTTAGTGAATATCCTGGAGTTGAAGTTAAAAAGAAGTGCTAGAAATATAATTACACACACACACACACACACACACACACACACCATGTATATTATTCTAAAGATTCATTTTTGTTTTTGGCTTTTGAAGTGCTGGAGACTGAACCTGGCTTTCTCATGCACTACACAAGAAGTCTCTGAGACAGATCCACTTCCCAATCTTTTTAGTTTTTAGTTTACAGCCCAGTCCCAACCAGTAAACAGGTCCTAGTACTAGGGTACACCAGCACATCTATCTATCTGGGTTTTCTTGGTTTCTTTTTACTTTTAATTTCATTTCATTAGCTCATGTGTGCAGTACATAATGTTTATACTCCTGTAGGATGCCGGTACACACACAAAACGTATTTTAATTCCTTTTTCTCTTCTCCTTCCATCTCTTTCCCCTCTGAGAAAGATCCCCCTACTTCCTATTATCCTTTCTTTTGCTCTGTCTTTGAGTTTCACACACAGAGGAGCTGTGTGATATTTAAGCAAGCTTATGTGTCCGATGAGTTCTCCTAACATTATGGTCACAAGCTCCATTCACTTACCTACAAATGACTCAAGTTTGTCTTTCTGGCAGAGCAGCACTCCACTCGCAGAGCCTCCTTCTCAGGTTCCACTTACCTCAGGGCTCTACCTCTCTGCTACTTCCTTCACACATCACCCATGCCACCCTCAACCAAGGAATCCAAGCTTTAACTCTGGGTCACATAAATCCTCTGAAATCTGTACTCTCAACTAGAGCTTCCTCCTCACTTCCAGAGCTTCAACTCAGTCGTCTTGGAAATCTCCACCTGGATGTCTCACTTCTGCTGACGTCTCTATTCCTCCATCTCACATTCTCATTTGAAAGGAAGTCCATCTTCCCAAGCCCCACTCCTACAGATCATCCTGTCCTCCTCTTGCAAGCCTACATCAAGTCAGTTTCCAAGTCCTACCAACTCTACTTCCTCACTAGCTCAAGTATCTGTTCTCTTCACATCCCAAGGCCTCCATCCAGCTCCTCTTCCCCCTCCTCTTCCTGCTTACAACACCACTCCATGATGTCTCTGGCCTCAGCCTCATGCCTTTCTAACCATCTTTCACTGAATTTCAGAGTGGCAGACCCAGCTTCTGGTCAATTGGGGTCTTGTATACTCTGATCTCCAGCCCTCTGAACTACCTGCAGGCTCATTTCCAACTCCAATGTATATGGTAAGCAGTCCTAACTTACCTTGCAACATCCTCAAGGCCTACTCCTTTCAACTAGTCCTTCTTCCAGGTCCCTGAACATCAACTTGATGCTCCTACACACTTATATCAAAAAACATAGTACTTCTCACAGTGTTTCTCCCACTGAACTGTACGTTACTGGATGTCTGAGACTGTTCTTTTTTGACTGGTCAGGTGCTTAACATTTAGAAGGTGCTTAAAGATCTCTGCAGGGGCTGGAGAGATGGCTCAGTGGTCTAAAGCACCTACTTGGAACAAGTAGATGAGTCCCTCTGAAATGAGACTGCAAGCCCCCCCTGCTGGACTCAGCAGCAGCTCCCCATCCCAGGTATATCTGCGAGACCCACAGGTCAAAGGAAACAAGGAACACAGCTGCAGGGCAAGAATCCTTCCTCCAAACACACCTGGAAATGTCACTTTCGTTTCCAACTAAACGTAAGGGGAGGGGACTGCGCCTTACTGCACAATTCCTGAAGTACCTTTTTCCACCACATAGAGCCTAATGTGTCCAGCCCGGGCAACGTCAAGAGGGTTTCTGACATCACAGATGTAGGTGCCGTTGTGTATGGACTGCATATTTTCTATGTTGATTGATGCATCCTTCTTGCTCAGATCCCCGGCCCAGCTAACTCTGTCCTTAAACAGTGGCCAATTCCCAGGGTACACTTCCCCTCGGGAGTAGTGGAAAAACTGCAATGAGAAAATGAGAACACTGGAGTTATTATCAGAGGCAAGTCTGCTGAGGAAGGTGTTTGTTTTTTGTTTTTTGTTTTTTTTTTTTTAAAAAAAAAGATTGTGCAGGAAAAGAAATGCCAGTCACACATCTCAGGATGTGGGATCTATGCCAGCAGAAATTTGGGGATCCTCAAGGTTCAACCATGCCAAGTTTCAGATGAAGAGACAGACTTGTATGTCATCTCTAAGCTTCTCAGCAGCCCACAAGTGTAATTATGACCAGCTCTAAGAAAGAGACACAAAAGCCGCTGTCCCAAGGTCCCAGGACATGGTCGACCTAGAGTCAAAACGAGGTCCACCTGACTCATCAAAGTAGATGACACCAGGACGGAGCGTGGTGAATCTGAAGGCTACGGCTGGCCGCCGAGAGCTATCAAGGCACACAGAAGCAGATCTGTCACATGTGAGCTTCAGCCCTACTCCCAGGATGCACAAAACACTCTCTTGCCTCTGCATTAGCTACTTTCTCTTCACTCTCCCCTCAAACCTGCTTTTAACAAAGAAACTCATTTCTCAAAGGGAATCTTCAAACCCAGCACCTAAGAAGTAAGGCCTGGCCGAGCGGGAGGGTGCCCGTCCTCACTCTGAGCTGTCATCCAAGCTCCTCTGCTGCAGGCCTGACAGTCCCATCCTCAGACCCAGATGGGCGATGGCAGGGTAGAAACCAGCAGGTAGACACCAGCTCCACTGGCCACTCAACTAAGAAAGCTGCTGGACACTGTGAGAGTGCTGAATATGCTGAATACCACAGTGCAATCTCGTCTATCTGCATGCTTTAGTGGCCACTGGTGTTTCGTGACCTCAGCTTCCCCTTCACGGACAGTGTCTCCTGAGATCTAGCCTTCTCACCCACTTGCACTTTATACCCAACAGTCCCTGCCTTCTAAGCTTGTCACGCCTCCTGTGTGCTTTGTCTTCTACCCACCAGTCTCCTCCTGACTGGTGGTCTCTGCTATGGCTTGAACGCCTTCCCTCCCAAATCTGCACTGAAACTTAATCCCCATGGTAACAGGGTGCAGAGGCAGGAACGAATGGGAGGTGTTCAGGTTGTGACGGTGCACAAAAGACGGTGTGCCGCCTCAGCCTTTCTTCCAAGGGATGACGCAGGGAGGGCCCTTGATAGACGTCAGACGCTTTATGCTTTCAGCCTAAGAAATGATTTCTAGTCTCAGTAAATTGCCCAGCCTGTGGCATCTTGTTTGAGCAGCACAGAATGGGCTCAGATAGCTATTTATCTCCCAATCCATAAATACCAGAGTACTCCTTCACCTTCCTTCCTGTGCAAGTCATAGCTTAGTACTGTCTGTCTACATCACAAATACTCCATTTTCTGTCACTTCTACTCAATTTCCAATAACACCACTGAGTTTTTTTTTTAAATTTATTTACTACAGGGTCTACAGGGTCTTAATATACAGATCAGACTCCTAGTGATCCTCCTGTTTACAGCCTCCCAAGAGCTGGGATTATAGGCACGCCCCACCACACCCTGTGTCAATCGCTGTCTCAGAGTGCCGCGGGGGCGGGGCCTGCACTGCACACCAGGGATCGAACCCTGGCAGCTGCACACCACTGGATTTCATGCCCTCAGCATCTTGGGCTATAGTGTCTCTCTGGCATCTGACTCTAGCTTCAAGGGAGGCTAATCAAGAGAGAGAGAGAGAGAGAGAGAGAGAGAGAGAGAGAGAGAGAGAGAGAAGCTAATCCACCTCCCATGATGCCTCAGCAATCATGGACAAGCACTCACTAAGTAATGATTATTGTGACCAGTTAGTGGATATATACCGTACATTTAGTATGACCTTGTAAGTGATCACCAGGAACTGTGAAGGGCCTGAGAGTTTTCCATGCCTGCAAACTGTCCAAGACCCCATGAAGTCTTCATTCCCTTGCAGAAGAACCACAAAGGACCTTATTACTATGACTCAGAAGGGACCCGTTTGTTCCGTTTCCTATGACTCCCAAGGCCCCAAGAAAGGCCCGAAGGGACTCAGGTAGGTGTTGTACATGCAGAGGCATTGCCTCACTGCTGAGAGCTCCAAGCTCAGAGGGCCTAAATATTTGTTTATATATTGCTCCAGATGGGCTCAAACAATCCTCCTGCTTCAACCTCCTGAATAGCTGGAGCTATAGGGGTGCACTGCCAGGGTGGTTTATAACCCAAATGCTTTATGACGGCCAAAGTCTCCCTTTCCTCTGAGTACACGTGGTATTTTCCACTGTACTGGACAGCAAGCAAGTCTGTCCACCATCCTAGAGGGAAACACTCCTTCAGTCCTTCAAAACCAGTCACTGAACAAAGGCCACAACAAAAGCAGCTAGGTCTTCTGCTTGCAAGATGTGTAGAGTTGCGAAAGACATGTGGGAAAGCACCTCTCAACAATGCTCACTCTCATGGTCACCCCACAGGGCCTTTTCCGCTACAAAAGAAGAAAACCAGACCCACAAAACCTCAGTGACCTACTCAAGGTTACAGGTTCAAACCCAGCAAGGATTTCTAAGTCTATGCTATTTCCACCATTTGATTCCCCTCATGGCTTGGCTGCTCCTTCAGTCTCTCTTCCTGGGGGTTGGGGAGATGGCTCAGTAGAATAAGCGCTTGCCTGGCAAGCACAAGAGCCTGAGTTCAATTTTTTTTTTTTTTTTTTTTTT